TAAGATGTGTATGATAACATTTGTCTTTTGCAGTCAACTCTTATGATTGATAATCAATTCATCATCTCTTTTCTTACACTTTTTCTCTATCTGCTAGTCACTACTCTTATACAATCTCTATATAATACAGTGTTCAGTGACTAGGTTCAGCAGCTTCTAACTTTTTGTGATTCTGTCTCATGCATTATACTGTCTCTCTTCACTCACTCAGATCACTACAGTGAACAGCTCATTAAAACTAATCTCATTCAATCTCTGAGTGTTCTCAGGGGTTGAGATGACTTGGTCTCATATGTTCACAGATGTTTCAGATAGTTCATTCTCTATAGTCTCTGCAATTGAACTGATGTAAACAGTTAAATTCAACTCTGAATTCCTTTTTCTTCTGTGATCTGACTCATGTGCAAGTCTGCTGCTTTGAGATCACTCTTTGCCATGTTATACCTGCTGTCTGCAGCACATTATTATATGATCAGCTACAGTCTCATCACTTATTAAAGTGTGACATTTGTCTGATTTCTTCATTTCTTCTCATTCTTTTCTTATAATTGTGAAAAGATCAGAATAAGTGAGATCATCTGATTTGTAAGTATCTATGATTTCTCTTACTTTGCAAGGCTTTTCAATTATAAGTCTCTTCTTTTTCAACACTGATGATAGTGCTGTAGATGATTATAATCTGCTCAGATCTTACATCTTTGCTTTCATAAGTCATGAATCATTGATTAAGTTGCATAAGATCCATCCCTCTGATTCTTCCAATGTGTACATTCCCAGAGAATGTGATTTGAGTATTTTATATGACTCAAACCATCTAGGTTGAAACTTCTCAGAACTCTCATTACATACAAGGACTTACATTCTCATCTTGAGACTTGATTTCTTAATAAGTGAGTCTTGTATTCTTTTTGATTGAATTGCTCAGTTCAGGAGTAACTCATTAGCTTTTGTATGTGCATGACTGATCTCTTTCAATCTTGATTCTATGTCTGTGACTGTTGCATCTGCAACTGCTGTTCCTGCTGCATTCACAACTGCTCTCTCTCTCACCTTTTCTGAAACATTCTCTGGGATGCGCGGATGCAATTCATACAACAGGTAGAATGATGAACACTTGGAGACTGCATGCTGTTAAATCTGTGTGATCAATAGTGCCTGTCTGAGATATTCATTTCATAGTCTTGTAGGCTTATTCACTAGATATTTCATCAGCATGTTGTTCAAGATTCCATTCAAGTGTTTCATCTTCTCATTCATTCATGGGTGATATAACATTGTTCTATGATGTCTTGTCTGTAACTGGCCCATGAAATGTCTCACTGCTTCTTCTACAAGGTTTGCACTGTTATCAGTTAGAATCTCACACAGCATTTCATAGTTGACATAGATCTCATCATGTAGAAACTTCATCACTATCTTCTCTGTTACCTCTGAAACTGCTCTTGCAACTGGCCAGCCAGTAGTGTAATCAATAGCAGTGATTATTCATCAATTTTCATTTAGTGTTTGCAGCAATATGTCTATGAGATTCATCTCTCATTGTTTGAATAATTGTATTGTACACTCTATCTGATATTGTGCTTTCTCACATTCTAACCCTTTCTTAGATTCTTTTGCAACCTGGTAATTCAGGCACTTGTGAGCATATGTCTGAATGTTCTCAGCCATGCTTGGCTAGTATACTCTTGATTCAAGTACATTCATGAGTCCAGAGCTTTCTAAGTGACTGAATTCCTTGTGCATGTGAGTCACTAAGTCATGTCTAAATGAAGATTCTAGATAGGGAGCTTCTATGTATTCTAGATCATGATAAAACATAACATCATTTTTATTTCCTAATTTTCTCAGCTTGAAGTTTGAAAGCATCTCTTCTACTACTCTCACAAGACACTTATCATCTGACATCTTGCCATTCTTTAAGTGAGAGATCATGACATTCACTCATTCTGATTCCTTGCATCTTCTCAGTGCATTTAACACAAACATCCCTTGTGCCTGGTTTGCAGAACTCTCACCCATGAAATCAGGTCTGTGACTGATTGCATTCAGTATCACTGCATCTGATTCCTTTCAGTATTTGATATGAAGATCATACACTTAGAACTCTGAGATTCAATGTGCTAAGTGTTTGAAAGATTTTATCATTGATTGTAGATAGATGAGGCTTTTGTGATCTGTGATCATCATTGTCATATATCTGTTGTTGATATATCTATCTCACAATGCCAGCACATGCTTGATCACTAGCAATTCCTTTTCATGCACTGAGTAATTGAGCTCAGCGCCTGATAGTTTCCTATCATCATACATCACCAGGTGCAGCTTGCTGTCCTTGCTCATCTGTAGAAGGGCGCCTTTGATAGCCCATTTGAATGCATTCATCTCAATGTAGAAAGATTTATCATGATCTGGTTGAATAAGCACTGAGAATGTTATTACACATTCTCTCAGTGTGAGAAAAGCCTCTTTGCACGCGGCATTTCAGATGATTGAATGAAACTTCTTCTTTCACAGATTTGCATCTGTTTCTCTTAAGAGATCTGAGAGTGGTGCAGATATTTGTACAAAATCCTTGATGAACCTGTGATAGTATGAGACCAACTCAAGGAACTGTTGTACATAGTGTATATTCCTCAGCCACAGCCAATTCACTATGACATTCAATTTCTCCAGAATGGGGCATATACAGTCACCACTCACTACATGTCTCATGAACTCCAACTCTTTCATTTCAAACACACACTTGATTGATTTGACATAGAGCTTATACTCTGCCAGAGTTGTAAGCACTTCATCAAGATGCTTCAGATGTTCATTGTATGAGTTTGAAAAGACTAGGATGTCATTGAGATATACAAGATATAAGGTTTTATTCTGTTTATGAAGAATTATATTCATCATCATTTGAAAGATAACAGGTGCATTTGTCAGATCAAATGACATTGCTAGAAATTTGAACTTTCTTCATTGTGTATTAAATGCAGTTCGCGGGACTGATAGTTCATCTACACAGATCTGCCAGTATTCTGAGAGAAGATTGATCTTTGATAGATATCAGGCATTTCTGACTGTATTCAACTGTTGTTGAATCTGTGGCAGTGAATATTCATTCTTGATTGTTAGCTTATTGAGTGCTTGATAATTGATACACATTTATCACTCTTCACCTGCCTTTTTCACAAATAGAACTGAAAAGCCTCATGCACTTGATGAGGATTGTATAAGATCACATTCTAGAAGGTCTGTGATCTGACACTTCTGTTCTTCAAGATGCATTTGTGACAGGAGATATGCATTCTGATTGACTGGTTTTGCATCCCCTGTGTCAATCTCATGTACAAATCCTCATTCCAGCAGCAATTCTGGTGGAAGATCTGTTCAAAAGACCTTCTCATGCTTCTCCAGAAGCTTCTTCATATGCTTATCCTCTCACATATCTTTTATCTTGGTTTTCTCCACTTCTGAGTCCTGTATGACATACAGAATGCTTTCAGATGAGGTCTTGTGAATTGTTCTCTTTGCTTATTGATGTGTAAGCAGATTTAATCCTTCTATATCAGGGGCGTGGAATGTCCTTCTCATATCAGTTGATAGGATTGTATGAACCATTTTCTTCCTATCAGTCAACTGCATATGACATGTACATCATTGAATCTGTGAATTGAACCTTTGAAATCAATCAAGTTCAAGAATAAGGTTGTATTCCACATTCTGCAGCTCTCACACTCAAATATAGCAAGATCATTCTTCAAAGTGCAAGGAAACTCTTACTTTTGCAGGTGATATCAAATATTAATTATCAGATAATCTTATGCATCAGAGATTCTTCACTCAGTGAACCTCTTTCAATCTTCAGATTATATAATCATCAATATATTGCATTGAAGCTCCTGTGTCTGCTAACACTTTTGCAGCCATCTCTCAATTCTTATTCAAGTGCCCCTTATACATTAATATTTCAGGTCTCAAGGCATTGAGATGAGTGTTCACTTCATTCTCACTCACACTTCAGTCAGAAGTCTGCTTCTTCTTTGCATTCACAGAATTCAGAGAATCATCTAATACAGGCATCTCTTTCACTTTGAAGACTTTTCATAGAATATCAGTGAGTGTCTCTGAGCTCACTGATTCTGCTAGTTTTTTGACTGTGCACACTGAGTGCAATCTTTTGCACCATGATTTTGACATTCACAGTTGAAACAAGCTTGATGCTTGTGACATCAAGGTTTCTACTCAGAGAATCTCTTTTTTGAGAGATTCAGTGCTTTAGCAATGACATTCAGATCTAGATTCATTGTGTCTGAGTGTGTGACTTGTGTTATAGAAGTCTGATTATCTGTTCTTCACTGAGACATACTCAATTGCAGTATTTTCTGTCACAATTGACTCACTTGTTCTCATACAATGAGAATGTTATATGCTTCTTCCACTGTACCTGATTGTGAGGTTAAGCATTTTCATTTCACTCTCAACTCAGGTGTAAGACCATGAATAAAGATCTGTAAACAGAAAGATGTTAAAAGCTCTTCATTCAACATGAGATAGTGTAAACTGAAGTGTGTGAAGTATGATGTAAGATTGTCCACTTGTCTACACTCAGTGAAGTGTTTATAACACTTATCTCACACATTCACTTTCTCAAAGTTGTGCAAGATTCATTTGGAAAACTCATTCCATGTTCATAGAAATGAATATCACTTCAGGTCTGTGAGATTCATCTTTTCACCAGTCATTCATAATGACTTCACTTTTTCATGTAGAAATGCAGCAGATCTTAAAACTTGTTAGAATTCTGTTAACTGTCTGTCTGTGAGTTCATGTTCAATCTGATAATATGATCACATCTGACTTAGTCAGCTGATTGCAGCATCATTTTTTCAGTCATTATTGAAGCTTGATGGCTTCAGCAGATCTCTCAGCTTGATATATTTCATGCTTGAATTCTCATCCTGCACAGTGATCTTCAATGGTGTGTACACTTCTGAAGAGATTGTGAACAATCATGGTGAGATCTTCAGATTCAGCATAGTTGCCTGTCTGTGTAAATGTTTGATCTTCTGCTGCAGGTCTAAGATCTGGTTTTCTCTATTCTTATTGATGATGACAATTGCATCAGCAAAGCTCTTCATAGTGAATGCTTGATTCACAGCAAATGCCAATTGTTGTTTGACTTTCATCTCAGCCTGCCACTGTGTATGCAAGACCTCAATCTCATTTAGAATCCTCATACACATACAGAGCTTCAATTCTGATTCAGCAGTCTCAGCTGCTTTTCTTACTGCTTTAAGTAAACTCTCTGAGAGGTTCTGCATATCTTCCAGTTCAGGTAGCAGAGAAGAGTGTTGTTTGTATCAGCTAGAAGAGATATTCATTTCAGTGATTGATTTCTGATTGATTGTACAATGTCTATTGTTATATCACTATATTATTATATAATTTCTGTTATCATCATATGACTCCAGTGATGATCACTCTCTCTTTTATCCTTCTTTTGAGTAGGGAGTGAACTTCTTTGAATCTGGTTCACTGCTTTCATTTCTTTTCTCACACCTCATCTGTTCGCATACATGACATTCACCTGAGTGTGGAGTTTTCCCTCAACAAGTGAAGCAGCAGCATCAATCAGATGCTCTTCCACTCATCACTCTTTGTATGCTATCTTTTGAGACATTCTAGGACCACACTGGCATGATAACTATAAATCACTTTGTAGATGGAATTATCACACTCTGGAGGAGCCTGCGCTTCTCACCAGTTTTTAGACATGCTACCAGATGTGATTCAAAGGTTGCTTAAGCCAGCATACGATTACAGGCGTACGCCGGCTTCTTATATATTGAATCTCGTACACTAATTTAATTAGCGGCTGCTATGGCCCCTTTACACTCGTACGCGTACGCTAGTAGTTCGGAAGCGGCCGCGGTATTATCCGACGGTCGTACGTTCTTCCGAACCACAATCTGAAGAATTTGCAGACTTTGAGAAGTGCTGTGAAAGACCTGATGTAAGAAAAAACAGAGTATAAGTCTTTGTAAGATCTTCTATTCAGATTGTCTGAACTACAACTGAAGAATGAATATACTCAGTATATTCAGAAACTGCTTATAACAGAGATCAATCCTGCAGAAACAAAGAATTAAAGAGACTTAAATAACCTCTTGTAAAGAGAGAGTCAGATTTATGTGCCTGTGAATGAGTTTCTATATGTAGAACTCATTAAAAGGCATCATAACTCTTCTCTAGTGAGTCATTTTACAGATACTAGAACTCATGAGTTGCTTATAAGAAAATACTTCTGACTGAAGATGCAAGAACTTGTGAAGAAGATAGTGAATTCTTATACTATTTATCAGAGTTTGTGAGTAGTGTGATTCAGGCTATATAAAGAACTTACTCCTCTACTCATTTCATGAAAACCTTGAGAACAGCTAGAAATGAATGCTCTTGTGAGCCTCTCTGAAAGCAAGAACATATATAATGCCTGCTTTGACAGTGTGCTGATGATAGTAAATCACTTCATCAAGATAACACACTTTATACTCACTTACAAGAACTTGAAGTCAAAGAATTTGACTCATATCTTTGTCTGCAATGTGATCTGATTGCATGAATTGTCTGTGAATATTATCTCAGACAGAGAATCAATCTTCATAGAAGAGTTCTGATCTGATCTGATAACTATACTGAAGATCTCATAAGATCTAAGCATGGCTTTTCATCAACAGACAGATAATCAGATAGAATATCTGATAAGTATATTGAAACAGTATCTGCAGTGCTTTGTCAATTACAATCAGAATGACTGAGTGTATTGATTATCACTCACAGAGTTTATATACAACAACTCAAAGCATGTCAGCACAGGCAAAACTTTCTTTGAGATGCTCACTGAAGCTCATCCGTGAATGATCTTAATGAACCCGCGAGAGTACACTATAGAGTGTGATAATGCCTGTGAATGAGCTGAGAGAATTCAGAAGATTCAGAAGAAAGCCTGTGAATTCTTGAGAAAGACTCAAGAGTATCAGAAGAGATACTATGACTTCAAGCATATTATAAAGAGTTTCAAGAAAGATGATAGAGTCTGACTAAGTCTAGAAAACATCATCATGCAGAGATCTAGCAAGAAGCTGAATCTCTTATAGATAGAATCTTACAAGATTATGAAGAAAGTTAGCTTACAGTTCTACAGATTGAAACTGTCACTTAAGTTGTAAATATACAATATTTTTCATGTCTCTTTACTCTGTGAATACAAGGAATTCTCAGAAGAGAATTCTATGATTCATTACTCTGTTCACAAAGTACTAGAGAGTGAAAGAGAATACTAGATCAAAGAAATTATTGACTCAGAGAAGTGAGATTGTGAGCTCTGATTCAAGATTCAGTGATAAGAGTATTCTGATAAGATGAATAAGTTCACTTAAGAATCATCTGAGTAGATAAGACATCTGCAGAAGCTGAGACATGACTTTTATACTGTGAATTCTGATAAGTCAGAATAATGTGATCTTTACTAAGAACCTGATTGTGATAAAGATATTAACACTGTCATTTATAAACTCTAGTCTACAAGATAATGAGTTTCTACTGAGATGAACAGTCTGCAGTGTACACAAGAAAAGAAGAAATCATATTCTTATTAAAGCTAAAAAATAAGAAAATAAACAGAGCTGTGAACACAATTTGAAGATCAATAAAGAAAAAATAAAGAAAACTCAAACTCACACTCTCATTATCTGTGACACTTAATTCTCTCATAACTACTAATTTTCTTCTTCAAAGAAGCAGAGAGTATTATATCTGTGATACAGATAATTATTGCATTTGACATGAAGACTGTCAGAAATGCACAGACTTCAGAGAAGCTGAACATCAGAACATACACAGTTGTGACAGAGCCTTGAGAGCTGGCTGTCTGTGCATGTGATCAGATACTTCTTATAAAGCTGTGTCTGCTCTCTCAGTTGTGCTGAAGTATTCAGTCTGAAAACAATTGAGACACAGAGAGAGAGCTCATCTGTTCAGGTCAACTTCTATCACAAATTCATAACATTCATATTACCTTGATTACCTGGATTTTATGAGTACCTGGGAACTCATCTCTCATTGATAATGAGATTGTGGAAATGCGCTGCAGTGTGAGGATCATTGATAGAGAATCTAGACATATTTGCATATACCTGATCAGAAATTATGCAGGTAGAGAGAGAGTGATTATAGATCTATAAGACTGTAGAAGATACTGATAATATCAGAAGCTCTGCAAGAACTGTTAGCTAGAATCTGTAAGAAATTACTTGTGAGAAGACTTACAGCAAAGAGAGAAACTGTACTGCTTGAAGTCAGAGACTGGTCTGAGAGAGACAGGGGATTGACTGCTGACCTGAAGATTGAGTGTGATGATGAGACTGAGAGAGATAAAGACACAGTTATAAGCAGCAGTGTCCCTGCTTCATCAGCCAGCAAAAAGTGATCAGAGAAGTCATGAGAACACTCATAAGAAGCTTGATAACAGTCAGACATTATTGTAAAGATATTGAAATTGAAAAATTTTTATTCTTGAGAAGTTCTTGAATCAATATACAGATATTGTCAGAAACACTCTCTCTCTGTCATCTGAGTGAAAACACTTCACAGATGAATAAAGATACTCACAGTTTATAAGAATGAGAGCTGTTACAGAAAAAGAGAAAAGAAGATGAGATTCTGTGAACAGATCTGGAATATTTATACTACTCTAGAGAGATTTGCTTACACTGTGAGTGATTCTGTGAAATAGTCAGATTACTCTAGTAAATAAGAGTGATTATGAATCACAGGCCTGAATCTTTCTATGTGACTATAAAGAGTGATTGCAGACTGTGAATATCTTAATTCTACAATTCTACAGAGTTGATGAAAGAATGAAAAATTCCTCACAATTCTATAGTATCAAAGAACAATGATTCACAAGAATAAGTGAAAGATTAACTCATAAATATTTCTCTTTAATAAAGATGATCTCATAGAAAGTGATTCATCTGTGAGATGAATCTGTATAATAATTATACAAGAATCTTGTGAAAATGATTGAGAGTCAATCAGAACCCTTCTGTATGAAAGGTGTAAGATAAATCTATATGATAGTCAGAGAAGAATCTGTAGGTCACAAAGAACCTTATAAAACAAGGAACTGAGTGACAGACTCTTTTTTCTTTATAATAACAAGGGATTTTTTCTCACTGAGATTTTTTTATAGATACAAAGAGTTTTTAGTGAGTATCACTGCAGTGCTGAGCTGATTCTATGAAGTCACTCAGTGAAAGGCTTCACAGACAAAGTCTTAGAGAGAGAGAGATATGTAAGAAATTTCACTTCTCACAGATTCTTTATCTCTATTCCTATCTCTTGTATAATCAATAGAGCTAGCGGCCCTTGACTACACACAACTATATAGACTGAAGTTCATGAATACTATTCATAACTCAGCTTAAATGCTATTATACATTTGACCTCTACATTTTATCTTTCTACTGTGAATACTTCTAGTAGTTAACAGTACATATCACGCCAAGCTGCAAACACCCGAATAATCGCCTGCGAGCACTTATTCTTACAAAATCACTGATCTTCATTCACAGTGTCTTATAGACTCTGTGAAAAAGTCTTCTCTCACAGACATTTTATTATCTATATTCTCAGAGGTGATTATTCTCTGATTCTTTCAATATTGAAAGGTCTTCAGTGTCAACTGTGAAAAGATTTCACAGATCTTATTTCTGAATACATCAGTCTCACACTGACTGAGTAAGTCAGAATTAAAGTGATTCAGTATTATAATATCTGTAAAAGCTTGTTTTAATTCTACAAACATCTGCACAGTGTCTTGAGTGAGAATAAATAGTTCTATTTTTCTGTTTTTCATACTTCTCTTTAACAGATTTGTAAGAAGAGCAGTAATCTGTAAATATATATAGATGAATTATCTGTAGAAATTTATAAATTCTAGAAACATCTGCATCTCACAGTACATCTGCAGTGCTGATCAGTTCTCAATGATGAAGACCTGACTTCTGTTCATTGAAATGCTGTTCATTTCAATAATATAATCTAAGAAATCAATCTTCTGTATGTAAAATGAGTATTTTTCAGTGTTTACATAGAGTTGATACTGTCTCAAGTGACTCAATACTTCTTCAACATGAGTATTATGTTCTTTCTCTATTTTTAAGAAGATTAAAATGTTATTCAGATATACTATACAGAAGATGTTGACAAGACTCTGCAGTATCTTATTTATATAGGTCTGAAAGATAGCTGAAGTGTTACA